ATTTGTGTCAATAGGACCGCACATTGATGGTACGATGCATCTTTGTTTATTTTTTCTTCTGTTAGGCTGCCCTATGCTATTTTAAATTCTTTCTTCAGGAGGATAACATCATTTCTATATTTCTGTTCATCTCTCTCACAGTTTTGTAGACATGAATTTTTTTGTAAACAACGCAAAATTCTTTCTCTGCACAAGCTATTGTAGGCAAGCCTTTAGAAAAAAAAGAACAACTTTGGCTCTTATTTAAACTGCATTTCGTGCAGACCGTTTAAGGCTGTGGAACAGAAATGTTAGTTACGGTGGATCCTTACAGGAGAACGTGCAGTGTTTCACCTAATGAAAAATATCTTCTTTTCCATCGGAATCATCAATAGCTTGTGTTGGGCTTAAGGATTGCAGGGTCGGATTAGATGTGATCAACCATATCTGCTTACCGTTCACCATCCCAACAAATTTACAATCCAGCTGGCAAAATTTTGGCGCATCTTACACGTTGTGTGGGAATATGTGTTCACTTCTATGTTAAGGTTATGCACAGTACCGTTACTAATTCTTCATTTCTTAACCTGAACGTAAAGTCGATATAACCAACAGATGGTTTTTCTTTGACTGTAATGTCTTCATACCCCATTACTGGTTCCAGATTTTTCACATCTTTGATTGTAGGATTTACTGCTGTTGATACCTTAAATTTTTCGTCCACATTCTCAGTGTTAGATTGTTCTATTTATAAGATTTCCCGGGCTCCAAGAGAGAGATATCTGCTCTTCACACACAGTTAGCACGATGGCTTCACACTGTTTTCCGCTTTTATGCATTCACGTTTCCTTGACGATTTTCATTTAGTATTTATTCAAGGAATAACTTATTTTATTGATTTTCTCATGTGATATTGATTGGCTAGCGTGATGATTTGCATGATTTGAAGACAATAATAAATCAACTTAATGAATTTGAGAAATTAAAGACCGAGAACAAAAAAAACTACTCGTCCAGCATTCTTGTAAAAACAATTTCGGAGTAGGAGATGCTGGAAAGTTACAGCTTGAAAGCGTCCGTCGAGTTGGGAAATTCAGTAAAGCAAGACCACGTCCAATTCTGAACTTCCATGATATCAAGATCGTTCGGAAATCGAGTTACAATCTAAAGGATACGGATTACAGCAAAGGGGAGCAATTGCCTGGGGAGTATTGCAGATAAAATACTTGTATGCAGAATTTCATTCCCTACCAAGTCATATGCCTGCAAACTGGACAGATATTAGAATTGGGCTCTGTATACCTTGGTCTCAGTTTCCTCAGGCCCAGCTGTCTCATATAGATTGAACAAATTTTTCTTCAACTTTACTTAAGCAATTAACGATCCTGGGTGTATTCCGTCCGCCAAAAGGAAATTTAGCGAATTCCCTAAATTTTGATGTTTTTTCCTGATTTTGTTTTTGAGGTTTTATGGAGATCTACAGCAAATTCTGGTGAATGGGTTGTCAAATTATTTCAGATATTGTTGATTCAGCTAGTTCCTTGTCTTTATGTTAAAAAGAAATGCAAGAATGGTATATTTTATAGATTTGTATTGAAGTGAAAACCTGTGCATTCAACAACAGACCATCAACTTCAACCCAGTACCAAGTGTCTATGTTAATATTAACTAGAACTGACCAAACAGGACAAAATACCCCCTGCTGAGTTTTCCAGAGGTGATAAATCATGAATACTTTATGGATCTAAGAGAAGAGAGAAATGCTAAAACATTTTTAGAGCAAATGTAATTGCTCATTATATTTTTCATAAATGAAACAAAGGCACAGCCTAATAAAAACTAGAGGTACTGTGAGCGATGAGCTCACTAAATGATACCCCCCGCCTCCCATATGGTTATAACTGGTGAAAAAGTCCATGTTTTCCTGTGGCCGGGAAACCCAAAATATGTGTCGGATCAAAAAGTAAAATAGGAGGTGCACAATGGCAATATGTAATAAAGATTCTGTGAAAGTTGCATCAAATTTCATTCAGTGGTATGAGAGGAATTGGGTACCCCAAAACGTAACAGACGGACGGAATTAACGATTACTATATACCCTCCCGCTTTTCAAGCGGGGGGTATAATAAAATAGACTAAAAAAAGACCAGACTTGAATTATGAACTTTTTCCGCCTCAGGTCATAAGCAATGTTTGTGTGAAGTAGTAGATTAAATTTTTTCCATAATAAAGATTTGTACCAAACATGAATTATACAATTTTTCTTCCAGTGACCTTGAATTTCCCCGAATTACCTTGGGTCAAGGTCATGACACACCCTAAGGTCAAGAGCAATCTTTATGTAAAATAGGACCCTACTAAGTTTATCCATAAGAAAAGAAATGAACCGGACACAAATTATTAAATTTTTCTTCAAGTGACTTGAACTTCCCCAAATGACCTTGGTTCAAGGACATGACACACCCTTAGGTCATGGGCAATTTTTGTGTGAAAAGAGAACCTACCAAGTTTATCCATAAGAAAGATATGGATTTGACCCCAATTAAGAAATTTCTCTTTCAGTGATCTTGAATTTCCCCGAATTACCTTGGGTCAAGGTCATGACACACCCTTAAGTCATGAGCAATCTTTGTGTGAAAAGAGAACCTACCAAGTTTATCCATAAGAAAGATATGGACCTGACCCCAATTAAAAAAAAAATTCTTCCAGTGACCTTGAATTTCCCCAAATTACCTTGGGTCAGGGTCATGACACACCCTTAAGTCATGAGCAATCTTTGTGTGAAAAGAGAACGTACCAAGTTTATCCATAAGAAAGATATGGACCTGACCCCAATTAAGAAATTTTTCTTCCAGTGACCTTGAATTTCCCCGAATTACCTTGGGTCAAGGTCATGACACACCCTTAGGTCATGAGCAAACTTTATATGAAATAAGAAACTACCAAGTTTTACTTTATCCATAAGAAAGATATGGACCGCACACAAATTATGAAATTTTCTTTTAGTGACCTGAACTTCCCCAAATGACCTTGGGGCAAGGTCACGACACACTCTAAGGTCATGAGCAATCTTTTTGTGGGTAAATAGATTCTAATGTTCCTCGGTAAGAAAGATATGGACTGGACATATTTGCGCAGACAGGCAGACAGACGAACAAGGTGATTCCTATATACCCTCTCAAACTTTGTTGGGGGGGTGTGTAATTAATATTCATATCTACCTGTTAACCTGTCTACCTGCTTGCCTATATATATTATTAACAAGAAACATATATTGACACAAGCGACCGCAAACCAATTAATTATTCCATTGATAAAGTAATTAGAAAATGAAATTTGCGTGACCTGTTTTTAAAAATTTCTTATATTGATCTATTTAAATATCCTCGTGACATGAAACACTTGAATGCGACATTGCCGAATCTCTTCATGCATAATGCATGTACAATATTATATATGTATAAGCAAACGGTCCATAGACCTCCTGGCGGCCGGTAATTAAAAACTTAATAAATTTGAAGATATGTAGATGTTAAAGATATGTATGCTGTGTTAAACAGTATTTTTGCACAGGTGAAACCAACAAAAATTTCTGGAGTATGATAAGCTACCAAAATTGAAGCATTCTTGCAAATTCGACGAAATTTTATTTGGTATTAACAAAGTTCTGGTCAGGAAAAATACACGATTATCTCTTGCATATTTATAAAGGACTGACGTTTATCCTGGATCTGCGCATGTGCGCGGGAAAAGCATCGCGAGAATCATCAGGTCGAGGAAAATATTTTTTGTGACGTCTGTTCAATGAGGGACACAAATAGACCAATGAGTTGCATTTAATGCATTTATGGGTTACTACATAAAATACTACATGTATTTTTCAAAAAGGCTAGTTTTTTAAATCGCTCTCAGAAAGACTTGATGCATTATGTACATTATTATCTACTAATCCCATGCTCATATTTACATACAAATGATTAACAATGATGAAGTTTTTCCCACTCCATTGTACAGGTCCGTTTGTTTAGAGTTTCCGCGTGCTGTACTGCTAGTAGGCATTTTCGGTTGGGTGAACATTTACGGATTTTGATGACGTTGAATTCTACACTAAATGGGGTATTGAAATAACAATTTGTAATCTTTCTTTTCATATGAAGGACAATTTGTAACTACGTACTTGACAATAACAATAGAAAATTCATTTTGCAAGGGTTTCTTTGTCAAAAAGCTCTTTAACAAAAAAAATTGTAGCCTTCTTGTTCTTAAAAACTAGTCCTATTTACATATTAGCTCAGCAAAGAAGCCACTTCTGATGGCTTTAAAATAATGTTAGGAGAAGGGTACGAAATGTTCATTTTTAAAATCTTCTAACAAATATACAGAATTCAAAGATTCTTTGATGCAATTCATCGATAAAATTTCTATCAATAAAATTTTAAAATTTTAAAAATTTAAAATAGTTAATGACATTTTAAAAGGATAAAAAATACAAAAGTTTTTGCATCATCCACGTGAATTATTTTTCTGAAGACTGAAGATGGCCAAGCCAAAAAAGTGTTTCATATATTTCTTCTCTATTTTTTGATTTCCAGTAATCATAATGGTTTTGTGTAAGAGATGGAGGCACGCTTGTCATCACAGGGAAGACCCTTTTCTATGCATTTGTAATGGTCCTCTGTCATTTCCATGAATGTGATGATTAACTAAAATAAAATCCGATGGTCATAAAAATTTTTAATTTCCGTAGTTTTCAAGCAATTCAAGGTATAAAAAGAACCACAAAAAATTTTGCGCAGACATTGGAAATCACAATATGTCTGGCGTTGTATCAAAATCAGACTATCCCGTGAGATTGACTACAATCAAAACATCAACGACTCAGTTCTTGCAGTTATTAGAATCTAGAATGACTTTACCAGACGTACATTTGTATCGATTCCCACCAGACTAGGAGGATTATCATTCAAAAAGTCTATGCAACGGGATTCATTGTGGCCAACCTGAGGAAGAAGTGTTACCGAATGTCGAAAGAAAATCGATTCGAGAGACTGAACCTACTTGACAAGCTGACCAGCAAGACCAGCAGTACAAACTTTGTTGCCAAGTATGACCAGTGGCTTAGAAAGAACAGTCGTGGAGGCCTAGTGAGACCAGCCGATAAATTCTACCTTCTGGTGCGTGAACTGGAAATCTCCACCAGAAAGATTGTTGATTTCAATGACATTCATTGCGAGACATTGAACACCTGCAAGATGAAGGAACACATGATGGATTCTTTCATGGTGAATCATTATCTGAAGGAACTGTTCCACGATTGTGTAAACAAGTACCTCTCAGCACTCTTGGAGGATATCGTGAGTGTATTTGTGATTGTTCGTGGGTATGCAGTGGCACGTGTGCTCCGCAAAAAACTTAGTGTGAAACAAGCCAAGCAGCCAGCCAAGCAGAGTGGCAGTCTGCGTCAGGTCCTAAAGCAGTGCAGTACAAACTTGTGATTAACTGTTCAGACTTGGGCACGAACAAGCTGGTTTCAGACAATACAAAAGCACAGAGGACCAAACTACACATCTCTCACAAGTAATTGAAGACTCTTTCCAATCTAAGAAAGTAACGTTAGCTGTCTTTGTAGATCTACAAAGAGCATTTGACAAAGTCTGGAAAGATGGCCTTCTTGTAAAACTCCAAAGATTCGGCGTAAACGGAAGGATGTACAAATGGACCAACTCTTATTTGAAAAACAGAAGAGCCAGGGTGATGGTAGATGGAAAATTGGGAAAGAAAATTCTTCTTAAGCAAGGAGTTCCCCAAGGAGGAGTACTGCCACCCACTCTATTCATATTATTTATGAATGACATTGTATCTGAAATGCCAAACGGAGTAAACATAGCACTATATGCGGACGATCTAGTACTATGGTGCTCCGAGGAATACACAACCACAGCAAAATACAGAATACAAAAAGCGTTAGACAAAGTAGAGACATGGGCAAGAGAATGGTGTGTTACCATCAACAGAGAAAAAACAACAGGAACTCTCTTCACACTATCACGTAAACCTCAAATCATCACTCTTACCGTGGACGATACTCAAATCAAAATGGAAGAACAGCAAACATACCTTGGGATAACTTTTGATAAAAGAATGACATGGAAACAGCACATAATGTCAGCAGAAGCAAAAGCTAGGAGAAAACTTAACATCATGAGAAAACTGGCAGGCACAAGCTGGGGTGCAAATGAAATGGTATTGAAAACTGTCTACCAAGGAAACGTCAGACCACATCTTGAGTATGGATCTAGTGCCTGGTTAACAGCATCCAAGAGTCACCTACAGACACTAGACAAAGTCCAAAACCAGGCATTACGTATCATCACAGGAGGCATGAAATCAACACCAATTGCAAGCATTGAAGAAATTACCAACATACCACCTTTAAATAAGAGAAGAGAGTGTAAAGCTATGATACAGGCCACCAAGTATCAATGCCTTCAGGACCATCCAATGAGCCAGAGAATGAAACAACTATCCTCTGGTAGACTCAAAAGATCTAGTTTTGCATATGAGACTCGGGCACTACAGCGAAAACATCAGGACGTTCTGCCAAAACTAGTTAAACCAATAGAGATCACACTTCCAGCTAGCCCCTGTGCAGAGAAAACAGGAAATGTCACCATCCACACCTCAGTCCCACAAATCACTGCTAAAAAACGAACAATCAGATTTGGTCAAAAAAACGTTCACAATCAGTATGATAGAAGAACTGTATCCCTCAACATCCTGGATCAGAGTTTATACAGACGGATCAGCCAGAAATGCAATAACAGAAGGAGGAGCGGGCATCTACATCGAATACCCTAACGGAAAAAAACAGTCAGAGGCAATACCAACAGGCCTTCATTGTTCAAACTACAAAGCCGAAGAAGAAGCCATCACCCATGCAGTACGCTCCATCAGAGACAAGGCCAACAAAACAAGAAGTGTAGTATTCCTGACAGATGCCCTATCTGTACTGCAAGCCATTAACAACGGCAAACTTCCCGAACTTGAACAAGATCTACAAAACATCGAATGCCTCCAAACAGCATTACAATGGATACCATCTCACTGCGGAATCAAGGGAAACGAAAATGCTGATCTGCTAGCAAAGGAGGGAGCCAAACAACAGAAATATGAAAAACAAGTAAGCTTCTCAGAGATGAAAACCATCATCACTTCACTATACAGAACCCCTCAACAACAAGACAGCTATCATCAACTAGCTAGACTTGAGCAGACGACCATCTTTAGACTTAATACAGGAAACAACAGACTCAACCAACATCTGCATAGAGTCATGAAAGTCATACCATCACCGATGTGTCCATGTGGAGAAGCTGAGCAGAATACAGAACACCTCTTACAACACTGCAGAATACACCAGGCACTGCGAAACAACACATGGCCAACACCAACAACGCTACAAGAGAAGCTTTATGGACCAGTGGAAGCCCTACAGAAAACCACCAGATTTGTAGAGGAGACTGGGACTCAAGTGTGAATCAGGCGAACGAAAAGAAGAAGAACTGTTCAGACATTCATTGTTGATGTATTATATTCTAGTGCTTGAGTAATTTAATAGGTGTATTCTAGATGCCTTATGATTAGTGCCAAGTACTGTGTACATGATTTTTTAATTTATTCATTATGCAATTCTGTTAATCTGAAGTACAAGTATTTGGTATATACTTTCCCTTTCCTTATCCTGGATATAGTGATCAATGCCAAAGAGCCATGTATGTGGATATCTATTATGTTGTATTGTACCGATGAAATTAATATATTCCTTATCTGTTTACATCTCAGCTATGCTGATAATTGCCTTTACAAAAGACTTTATTTGTTGTGTTATTCAACTATGATATTTAAACCTTGTCAAAAACCTTTATTTATATTTTAACTGTCAATGACTTATGTCTGTGAAAATTAATTTTGTTGTTTTTTTTTCATCTTATAAAATCGACCTAGTCTGAATCTGTTCACTTTCTTGAAACAATGTATATTGAATAATAAAATTAATAAACCGTCATAGAATATTCAGTTTTATAGCAATGGAGTATTACCAACTCAGTTAGGAGAAAATCAAGGTTGCTGTGTTGACTTCTCAGCACAAAAAGAAATAATTCTAAGATTCTCTCAAATCTAAGCTTGAACGGAGTAACTAATGCACAAGCATTACAAGGATTTTATAAGCACATTATCTTTCAAAAATTGAGGTCCTTGATTAGCAATGTTTTGAAAACTGCATGAGTGCATATTTATCATATGGCAGTAAATTTCTTGAATCCCATATTGCATAAAGTGCACGTGCACTGAAGGAAGCTCTTCATTATTTAGACCCTAAGGAAACCATCAGTAATGACCATTAACTGAGAACAGACTTGAGTCAAAATTTCAAACCAATGTAACATTTGATAAAGTTTTTTTAACAACTCAATTTACATCATATGTTTGATTTTAAACATTAAATGAATAAACACCGTACAAATTTTTAAGCAGCATATATATTGATTAATATTTTTACTTAACTTTGTTCTCATTTTAAGGTCTATTGTTTGAAATTTAACGGTATAAAGCTCCCTTAAAGTAGCAGTCGTAACACTGAAAGTGCATGAATATCAGTCTGTACAATATCTTATATGCAGTATCTGAATTTCTATCCTTGCAGTTCATTACTTCAAGAAAGGAGACCATTGTTCATTTCATACACTTATTAACATATATTCAAGAAACAAGTCAACTGATACAAACAAGTAATAATTAAAAAAAGAATAAATTAAAGACAAGTTTGATGAAAGAGAATCAACAAAAGGCTTTCAATAATTATTCTTGAACTATAACTTAAAGAATCAACATAAGACTTTCAATAATTATTCTTGAAATATAACATAAAGAATCAACAAAAGACTTTATATAATTATTCATGAAATATAACATAAAGTCCAAATCAGTTGTTTTATTCTGTAACTTGAAGTCCACCATTATTCACTAAAAACATGTATCTACATTAGTCACTTGAAGTCCACCATTATTCACTAAAAACATGTATCTACATTAGTCACTTGAAGTCCACCATTATTCACTAAAAACATGTATCTACATTGGTCACTTGTAGTTCAGGATTCACATCCAGAATTCTTAATGTCTCCTTGCTTTTCTTCTTGGAACCACAGAATTGTCCATAACTTGTGGAGGTCTGTTTTCATCTCTCCCACAGTTTCCTCGGGTTGATGGCAAGGCTTGTGCCCCAACAGTTCGAATTTGGGTTAGAATGTTTTTGACCTTGTACACTGTAGGGTTATTATTATTGCCGACCTTGTGCCGATAATGGCCAAAATGTTGCTCTAATGGATCCTGGTTGAAAAAACTGGTCAAAATGTATGATGATCCTGATTCTAGCATATACTTGACACAGGCAGTGATGGAGTGAGTGGAAATTTTCAGACCAAGGAGAGTTTGATGACTTAGCTGCATGCTGGCTTTTTGGGCATCGGTAAATTCTCCTCTTTGCTCGACAGCTTGTTTCCAATCTTCAAAGTATTGTAGGAAATCATTTGTCAGCCAGTGAAGTCTGTCATCATCAGGCCTGGTGTAAGCCTCCAGGTTAGGATTTCGTTTGTTCCTGCCTTCGTAGGGACTGCGAACATTCATGCAGTCAAAGAATTTGTTCATTGTCCGATTAAAGGTCACTGTCTCGCTTACAGATTCGTCACAGCACATCTCTAGAGAATTGGCCACTGTTTCACTCAAAACTTGAGCAGCCAGTCTGACCTTCATTCTGCTAAAGGCGTTCAAGTCAATATGTCCACGGTTTAGCTTTGGACATGGAGTGTATAGGTTCTGGTCACAATGTTCTTCGTAAAGTCTCACAATGTGCATCCAGGATACGTCTTTTCCTCCATTCCAAAGGGTCCTAGACTTAGTGTGAGAGTAGGAATTGCTGAAGCAATTTCGAGCAGTTTTAATCAGATGAGGAACATCGGAAATGAAAAAAATGTCTCTCGAATTGTCATGTGGATTGACTGTTTTGTGGGTTAAGCTTTCTCCATCTCCGGCATGCAGTGTAAAGAAACGTCTGTTTGCCAAGGCACCATCACAGGTACAAAACAATACCTTTAATTTCACAATTACTTCCAGAATGGAAATGGCCTTCCAAATGATGGGATATAAAAAGTCCGCTGTAATTCCCATTGTTGAGAAGGCAGCAAATGGGAACTTCAAATCGGTGGTAACCCCTCTGACCATGAGCACCAGGACGAACTTTGCTACACCATCAGAGCTGCATCTGGTTTTCTTCTTCTGGGATTGTTCGAATTGGCATAGTTGGTTTCCGATGTTGCCCAAATCTACGTAGCCAACCAGTTCCCCGGAATGTTTATCATACACAAGATCTTCTTTTATTTTTACTTCGTCAAACCACAAGCCCACAAAACTTCGGTGATCAGCAGCAAACATGTCTTTCTTGCTACACTCTTCTTTTAACATTCGTACGACGTCTGGCTGGAATCCTAGATGGTTTTCAATGTAGTAAGAATAATCGTATAAGGTGCTAGTACTTGGCAGTTGCACAAATCCAGAGTCTCGAAGTGCCTCGTATGCTTTCGATGACTTGTGTCTCAGGTAAAGGCATAACTTTATCATAATGGGATGCCATCTCATACCGTGTTTGCCGTGCTTTTCATATCTTTTCTGCTGTTCCCAAAAGAGTCTTTGGTAGCACCCTTGATCTGGAAATTCTTTTTCCATTTCATCCTGACAGCTTCCCATCAAATCCTTCATTTCCTGATTTTGATCCTCACTTAGTTTGAGACCTTTCTCGATGGCAGCATTCATTCCTCTCTTCAGACGGTCAACTTCTGCTTGTAAAGACTTCATGTGGGACTTCCGGAGAGATAATTTTTTGTACAGCATGTCACGTGTCATGTCGGAATGTTTGTAGGTGCTTGTAATGGAGACATCTCTGTTCTTTTGTTCTTCTCTCCGATACTTTCTTTTTCTGAGAAGCCGTCTGTACCTGGAACAGTTCACACACCTTGCTCCTTCAACAATAAAATCACATTTCGATGATCGTATCGTTGAACTGTATGACAGATTTCCCTGGATGGCACCAAAATCCCCTTCTCTGAATGCTGAAATCTCTTCGGATGTTGTGTCTGATAATCCACTTCCTGTTGGTGTGAGATCTTGGAACTCAGCATCAGGATTTCCCACGCATACGCCATGTTTAAGTTTATCCAGAACTCTGCAAACACCAACGGCTGTGAAGGCCTGTCTTGGGAGTCCACTCCAGAAATCATGAGAATATGGAATTAAAGTCCTGTGTACATAAATGTTCACATAAAAGTCTCTCCCAATCACAACACTTAACTTATTGAGGAGGTCTGTTTTTGGTGCTTGTAGAATTCAATAATTTCTATGGCATGCTGATGGAGATGGCACGTCACAGTATATTGAGAACAAACCAGGGAAATGAGTTCATCCTTAAGAAGGGTCAGTGGGTCTTCACTTTCTACTGTAGAATGTGGCAAAGTCTGTGAAACAGGGGAGGTAACTTGCAAATCCTCAACAGCTTCTCGCTCTTGATCAGCGGTGACCTGACTGGAACAATAGGACTGATCTGAAGGCAGTTGAACATTTTCTTGATCATTGGCATTAGAGATGTCTGGACTGGAACACTGACTGAAGTCTGGGAAATCTTGACCTGGAGCTGAAGAACTGTTGAGGGTGTTGTAACTGTGATCATACTGTTGAACCGATACGTCTGACTACGCTGCCTTTTGGAGTGGTATTTCTTTCTTTGGCCGATGGATCCGCTTCTTCTTCTCAGGACAGGCATTGCTCTGAAATAAACATAATAACATAATATTTCTATTCAAAATGTTACTTTAAATTGAGAATTTTAAATTTTAGAGACTGTGAAAGGCTTGTGTCATGTATCTTAGGCCCTTTGAACTAGATGAAGTGAACATGATGCATAAAGTTTACTCAATGTTTGTATTTATTTTTTTTTGTAAACACAATGTCTTAGTTCTGTGTCTGGAATTACAAAATATCGCTCAAATAGGGTGACAAATGAAAGGCACCAAGTTATATTTTCTAAACTAGATATCAGATTTATTAGTGATTGTAATGGGTTTCCGAGTAGTCGTTGCTATTGGCCTCAGACTATTGGTTGTAATGGGTTTCCGAGTAGTCGTTGCTATGCGCGGGGGTGTTAAGGAAGCATTTAGTATTTAGCATTTAGTATTTACAGAGCTAAAAATCCGTGAAAATGTTGCACTATGACGTCACAATGAGAAGTCCCCTGTTGTCTGCAGAAACGCTGTTACATTGGTTTTCATTAGCATTTTACAATTAATCAATAATTTCCTCGCACGTGTGGTTTTTATTACTCCAATGATTAAAATATTTAGCTTTGAAAAAATTCCCCGGCAATTTTTTAACCAGGCGTCATGCTTTCCCACAGAAAAAGAAACATAATCTTGTATTTCGTGCATGCCC